CTTTTAAAAGCGGTGCTGGTGCTGCAGCGCATGCATTTGTATAAATGGCAAATTAGTGTAAGTTCTGAGAACATGGCAGTGGTGCACTTTTAGTTTAAAAAAAAAAAAAACACATTAAAGGTGTATTAGTTCAAAAGCATAGTGCCACCATTTTCTGTGCGCTGATGCGCGTTTTGCCACTTGCATAAATTCATGCAGCGCACTGGGCACATCAGCTTTCATGCTTCGCGGACTTGATTAATCAAGTCTGCTCCAACATGCTGGATTTCCAGTGCATTGGAGCAGACAGGTACATGTATAAATGCCCAAGAACTTCAGAATTCAGAAATGCCAGATTTAAGATTGTCCATGAAACATCTGGTCTGCCACATCTCAAACTGCACAGAAAAATGGCCAGAACAGTTCTGTGGTGCATTGTTACACACGCTGGGCACTGCGGGTTTTGCGTGTTCACACTTCTGTGAATGCACATGCTGCGCATAAAGGTGATTAGTATAGCTCAGTAGTAACTGCATACGACTCACCCAGGTTTCAGTTGTCGACTTTCTGATGTGACCCAAATGGGTGCAGGTTTCCTTTAAGCCCTTTCTGAAGTGCTGACATAATTTAATGGCATGAACCTGCCTAGCTTACGTTCTCCTGTCTGCATTTCAGCACCCGCTGCCAGCTGACTGTAGTCATGGAAATGTGGCTTATGCAGCATGATTGCAGCCTGTTCAAATTGCCCACATAGTGCTGAATTAGTGAGGGGCTTTCTAGGAAAACCATACTGAAGTGTGTGATTGCAGTTTAATAAACTCCTTTAATAGTCACTTGTTTGTCCAAGCTTACACAATATTTTTTTTTTCCTTTTTAAGTGTAAGTTTATTTTAGCTGGCAACTGATGCATGGGTGTTCTTCTTTTTCTAGTCACAGAGTCAAACAAAGTGGGTGTTTTGTGGAGAGGTTGGGGTTTTTTGGGGGGGAAGGGGGGTGTTGTTATAACCAACCTGCCATAGTGCGAGGAACTGACTATGTGAATATAGTCATCTAGCACAGAAGGATCCCAGAAAGCAAAGCTCTCCATTTAACTTCCATGTGTCAGTTAGTGTCCTGCCCTTTCAAGAAATCATCTATATATTGAAAGGGAGATTTAGTCCTCAGCTGGACCAAAAGTATTTCTCTCAATGGATTACAATGCACTAATTGGTTAAAATAAAACAAAATCAAGGTTGCCTCAAGCTTACGGCCTGAGAAAACTCTATTGAAATCAGTGTGGGTATTTCTGTTGATTTTGCTGGGCTGTGTGTCAAGTTCACAATCTGGTGTATATGTTGTGTGGGCCATTGCAAAGAACTTGCATTGCCATAAAGTAGGAATATGTGCATGAATGACTGCTCCTGGAAGACATGCTTCATGAGACTAACAATATCTGATATTTGGAGGAAGAGACTAGAAAACTTCTAAACTCTCTTCCCTGCTCTGCAGCTGGCAGTGACCTTGAATGTATTGCTTAGTCTCTGCATCTCAGCTGCCTTACATAAAAATAAGGAAATGATATCAAGAGTTCTGGTTTACAGGATGAAAGGCAGTACAGAGAAAAAGATACAGTTGGCACCCTAAAATTTAAGAGGAGCACAGTTTGGTTAGCAAAGTCACTTCATCATGAAGTTTCCCCAAACAGTTAGATTATGATATTTGGTTATTTTACTTTTTTTTTCTGGACAGTGGGCACTCAATATGGGACCCAAGAAAGGGTGTGTGTGGGGGGGGAAATCTGGCTCTTCCACCTTTTTCGTCCCGCTTTCCCCCTAGTCCTAAGCCCAAATCAGCCTTTCATGTACCTCCCTCTTGATAAGCAGGGAAAGAACTTTAACTTCATTCCATTACCAGAAAACAGCAGGGAAAAATTGATTGGTCTCATTTGAAAGCCAGCATAGCAGCAGACTTCTTCTTCCTAACCCCTGAGTTATTGCCTTGCAATATCTAACTTGGATACAGGACTTAAACCCTCAAGATGAGAGCTATTGAATGAGTCATGCTGAAAAACAGAAGCATTTAACGTTGGAAAACTGACCTCAATTCTAGCCCTCTTTTAGGTTTTATATTGCATGACATTTTAAATGAAATGTCATGCTTCCTCTTAAATGACAGGGCCTTAGCTATGTGAGTATGATTCAAGAGGGTGTTAAGTACCCTCATCAGTCCCCTTGTCTGTCTTCCAGACTTTCATTTGTCATAATGTCACTAACTTCAAGTCGCGCGGTAACATAATACTTGCATGTTTTGCTTTTTGCTCTGACTTCCTAGACAGACTGTACTATTGAAAGATCACCATGTCTCTTGCAATTCCCATAACATGCCAGACCAGTGGTTATTGTAGTCTGACACCCTGTATCTTGGCAGCAGCAAATATCAGAAGTTTTCTGAAGGTGTGATTAACTCCATGTAGTGCAGTGACTTGCCAGCAGCAAAAGCTTCCTTGCTATAACTACCTTTGGTTATAGAATAGAGGTACCCAGCAAAGTCTGTGTATAGATGGAAATACTCTTGGATTCCCTGTTACTGTTGGATGATCAGACAACCACTCTGGTAAGAAAAGCACTGCCATCTTCTAACGGTAGCCGGACAAGCGTGCCTTATTCTGTCAGACACAAATCTGGCCACCACATCCATGCATTTCATAACCTTTAAAATGTACTATTTGACTGCAGTTCACTGTATTTAGAAATCAAACCTTGTGTGCCTCTTGGAGCTTTTGGCAAGGCAACCTCCAGCACCCTGGCTACAACAAAATGTGTTTTGTTGAAAAAGGGGTTTAGGTTGTAGCTGTGTTGGTCTAAGGATATAGGGAGACAAGGTTTCTTGGGTGAATTTGATATCTTTTATTAGACCAACCCAAATGGTTGGAGAATAGTTATTAAGCATTATATTATTATTTTGTTGAAAAATACATTTTGACAAATGTTGATTCATTGAAACCAGTTGCAGAAGTGCCTTGGGTTTTGACTTCCTCTCCTTTTTTGTGTCTTTGTGATAAGGTATGTAGCAGAATTGGCAGATTCATTGAATCTGGGCCACGCCATAAGTGCTCCTGCTGTGGCCTCACACTTGCAACCTCTAGGCTGTCAACTGTGCGCCTTAGCACCTGCACCACCCCCAACCCCTTTGGGTTTTGACGCAGGTTTGGAATTCAAAGAAAAGTGAAGACACGTAGTGCATAGGTTTTCTTGGGAGGAAGGACCACTATGCACCTATTGGTAGCTTTAGCCATCTGAATACCTTTAAAATTCTGGTCTTTGGATACCAAAATATTGGTCTACCCCAAGCAGACAGGCAGTTGGTTTTTGACACGTACTAAATACCTTGCCTCCTTGATTGCTTTCAGCCATGAGGTCCTGAGGAGTGCCTGTACTCTTTACATTGGGCATCAAAATTCCTTTACTTCTCTGTTGCCTCACTAAAATTTTTTAAGCACATCTTAGAAAGAGGCTGAGACTGTCATGGGATTCTGTACTGCTTTCCAATAACACAGTCCAATCCCACATCTAAAGCAAAAATCTTGAAGGGTGTGTGGACACTGAATGTTTCTTTATGCATAAAAAGAATTAGGGAGGCTCTGTTAAGAACATAGGTAAAAGCTTACAAAAAGGTCTAAAACCCTTTTTTCATTTCCTATTTTGTCTGTCTGTACTATCCCAGTCTTGCGGGTGTGCTAAAATACAAAGGTGACCAATTCATGAGCAATGATATGTTTAAGGCTGCCTTTCCAGGGACTTCATGTTCCAAAGATGTTAGACTGCTGAAGATGAGACCACATTCTCCGCCATCAGCGGAGACTGTGTGTTGTGTTATAAAAAGATTAGCAGCTGATGTCAGGGCCTAGTTCAGCAAGGAGCTATTTCAGAATATAGTACTAACTTAGAGTAAGTATGTGTAAAATAGAAATCATCACTCAACATATGCAACATCTATGTATGGAGCAGAAATAAGTAAAAGAATCAAATGCCCATGCTTGGTAAACCACTTAAAACAGAAATGTTCCTGTGGGTTAGTACTTCTCTGTATGCCCTGCATCCCTTTCTTCTGCAGATACAAGTATGTGCTAAGGTCCAGATCCTCAACTAGTGTAGTTTTACTGCAGTCTGAGAGCTCCACCAATTCAAACCAGCTAAGGGGCTAGCCCTAAATCTCTACTATGACTATATAGAAAGACCGAAGAATTTAATGTGAGCTTGCATGTTGTTCAGCATCAAATTCAGCCTCACTTAATGACATAAATCATTATAGCTCAGACTCGTCCCTGTTGGGGAGGAAGTGAATTTAACCTTATGTCTTGCTTAATTTCTTTGGTTTGCCTTTAACTTAAAGCCTAACTGTGTTCAAATTCCCCTCTATCTGCTTTGACTGTGTATCCTGCAGTTTTCATTCATTGCTTCAGTAAATCTATAACCATATGATTTCGCCTCCTAAAGTTCCTGGTGCCAACCATCATGAGGGTTGTACACTTGCATAGTATTATACCACGTGCAAGTTCCGATTTCTGTAAGTTTGTATTTGTGTTCAAAGAGGGCAGTGGTTTGGTTTTGGGGGTTTTGTCTCATGCATATGAATTGGTTATGGACAGGATACTAAAGGACAGAGCCACTTCTGACTTTCTTAATAAATTCTGTTTTTTAACGTAGAGTTGAGAGGGAAGACGTGGAAATGTTTATGTAATGCTGTACATCTACACATCTGAACATCAGGTGAAGTGTCTGGACTAGAGGCCCTGGTTTATGTCAAACGCCCTTACACTTAACAGAGACTGCTTATGTAAATCTGCTGGCATACTGACACATCCGGTAATCAGTTGGTGTCTATCATCTCTAAGAAACATTCTTCATTTACTTTCTTCAAAACACGTGCTGTCCAAAACGCTCAAGCCTATTAAGGTGTCAAATAGGAAGAGAAAAAACTCCGTGCAACTCTTCCCCACTGAAGAGCAAGTTTTTTTGTGCAAACTGCTGTCGTGTTCAAATACTTGATTTCCTTTGTTGCAGGATATCAGGCATGAAGCCAGTGACTTTCCATGTAAAGTGGCCAAACATCCCAGAAACAAAACCCGAAACAGGTACAGAGATGTCAGCCCCTGTAAGTAATCCTTTCTTCTCAATTATTCAAAACAGACTGCTAACCTTATAGAATTTCTTTTCTACATAAAAAGCATTTAGATGGATGTTCCCATTTTTCTTTTCTCTTTTTTAATAGTGGATGCATATCCGAGACTGAAATCTTGTCATTATAACATCTCTAATAACATTAGCTATGTTAATGCTGTATTTTTGTGTGGTCTATCACGTGATTACACTGCAGCAATACTGAATAATTATAATATTCATGGGTAGAAGCCTTTGCAGGAAGCTGGTAGTCTTACTGTCAAATCCTTGTAATAAAGAAGACTGAGAATAGTACAGACTTGCTGCTGTTTAAGTGTCCTCTCCATTGCTGTGTGTATATATATTTTTATATAATGTGCTACCAGTTAGCATGGAATGTTTCTCTGTGTGCAGAGGGAAAATACAGCCAGAGAAGTTGGCCTTTCAGTTGAAGGAGACCTCAGTTTCTGAAGTGATGGTCTTCATGATGGGTCCATATTCCCACATACTGGAAAATGCATGTCGTTAGATCAGCAACTAAAGCAGTTGAGCCTTCCTGAACAGTCACTGGAAACTGTACTGTTGCACACAACGTTGCTTACTGATCAGTTTTAAGCTTTTATTTTTCTTAGTAACATTGATTGGTTTCCCCTTCAGAGGGAATTGGTTTTTTTCCTAAAAATGTGGAAATTCTTATCCATGAAGGTTCCATAAGTATTGCAAACTTTTGTATTGAAGAGCAGCACAAGTCCTGTTGCAGTACTTTTCTTTTGATCTCTGCAGTAGGTGTTGAGTACAGTTGAGTTGAGAAAAAATTGAGCATGTAAAAGAACTTTTCAGAGCAGTACTCCATTACTATTTAATTTCTCTTTAGAAAGTCTTAACATTTTGTTCCTATTATTTGATGAAATAGATCCTAATTTGTGTTTATTTAGGCTGGCATTAACTAGTGTTTTCTTCTTGTTCTACAGTTGATCACAGTCGAATTAAACTACACCAAGGTGACAATGATTATATCAATGCCAGTTTGATAAAAATGGAAGAGGCCCAAAGGAGCTACATCCTTACCCAGGTAATTGAGGAGGGGAGGGGGCTTTAAAACCAATAAAATCTTTGTTCTTTCTCAAACAAGCATCCCCAGAGGTTACTTTTTGGCTCTAGGGAGGGCCACTTGTATTGTATATGGATCTTCTTAGGTACACTTATAGTTGGAGGTTACTGTGGCAGGGTGTGGGGTCTGGGGCAAATCGGCCTGTGCGAGGCCTGGATGCGGCGGGGGTGGGGGCGAGCGAGCGGCCAGATGTGAAGCCAGCCCAGCTCTGTGGGGCCTGGGGCAGTCACCCCGATTCATTCCCCACCCCCAGGATGGCCCTGCCTATAGTAGGAAAATCACTTTTGCTTTAAAATGTTTTAAAGCAAACATTTTTAAAAACAAATCAAATCTTGCTTTTATTCTATTAAACTAAAGTGCCTGGCATTAAGGTTATGTAGTTAGCATATTCAGGTACCCTGCAAAGGAGCATGCAAGTTAAGTTTATAAGAAATATTAATGGGTACATGCAGTGGGTTCCGTTTTTAATTATAATCTTGTTTTTGTAATGTGTGAAACCACACTGCACACACACAACTAGCTTCTTATTTTCTCTTTTTAAATGCACGCTTCACTAATGACATGATACAGGTTAATGAACAGTATATTGAGGGACTTCCTGCCTGTAGTGCAATCCATCTTCAGTCCTCCCTCCAGAACTTATAGTTGAGGGAGTACGTAGTAGCTGGTTCAAGGCAGCATCCGTGTTATACCATCTGAATTCCCAATTTAGTTGAAGCAGCTGGTGTGCTAAATACTGCTGTGCATGTTGGGACTGTATGGAATGATGCAGATGGATGAAATTCACCCTGTGCAGAGAACTAGCCCTTAGGTCTGTGCACCTTGCGACCTCCTAGAATCCTAGTGGAAATGCTGACTGCCCGTATAGGGATGAATTCGACTTGCAGAGACAGCTTTACACACCCCAAAAGAAATGCAAGTCTGAATACCAAGGATTTGGGAATCTATTTGGAAGAGTAAACATAACTGATCTTAAGCAGGGTCTGATTGTATTAATTTAAATAGGACTGAAATTGTGTAAACAAAAATATACGAAGGATTTTCTTTGTCAGATGTATACCCATCGTTATAAAATATGGTCATGTTTTAAGGACGCGAAAATGCTCAGTCCTCAAAAAGCAGTGCATGTGCCTCTGATGAAATAAGCTTCCTAAAGCTTTCAGATAGTGAGGAGCTGTACCGTACTGAAGCAGCTGACTGAGATTTTAAGTTTATAGTTTGCTCCCCATGCTGCTTCTCCAATGTGGAGTTTAGATTCCTCCCTGCTTTTTACTTTCTTGAGGTCAGACTAGGCTGCTTCTCTTACACGTTTCATTTAAGACCTTCAAAACAGGGAGGGGGGGAGGAAGTTTAAAAAATAAATAACTATAACACAAATATTTAGATTTTCTTTCTCTAACTTCCATAGCTAATTATGTAACAAATTTTAAATATGTCTGTTTACCATAACATGTTAATCTAAGTTAGCAACTGTGCCAGAAATTGTTTGCTTTTAATGTTGTTTATATAATTAAACTTAAGTTTCATTTTCTTTGGGATAACGAGTGTGTGTATGTACATTTTTTTTCTTTCTCCTGTTTTAACTAAATAAAGATGAACTGAAATGGGTGTTGTTTTCTTAGCAAGTCAAGAGTTCTGCACCACAGATTAATGTTTATTTTCTGGAAATGGGAAGGAAGAAGCGGGCCAAGAATTTTAGAGAACTTCTAGTTAACTGGGATCTTCCGTACCGTGTGCCCCTAGGGAAAGAGAATACACTGCTCAATTCCATTTTATTACTCCAAGGTTATGAAGATCATAGGACTGAGAATCATTAGTAGAATAGCTGTCTAAACCATAATGCAGTCAAATGGACAAAATGTCAGTGTCAACCCCTGTCATTCTTTCCAAGACTTAAGTTGCATTCATTTCTTTGAGCTGTGTGAGGTGTGCTGGAAATCAGAGCTGCACGACTGCTAGTCTAGGTTATCAAGGGAATCTGGGGTCTGTGCATGGCAGTGTTTTCATGTCTTCCATACTGCATAGATCCGTTAATTTTGGGATGGAGGGCAATATTAACCACAAGAAAAGATGCTGCTTGTGTAGAAAGCTTTGGGCTCTACAGAAGAGGGACTTCCCTTTTGACTGTCCATAGAATAGTATTCGGGAAGTAACTTTTGTGTAGCCTTCCAGCAATCCAAAATTATCCATCTGTTCTTTTGAATAACTCTTACACTAGACTTGAGGCAGTAACTTTCAAGTGTCATTACTAGCAAGTTCTTCACCTGCACACCTACCCAGCCCAATTCTGTAAAACACTTGCCTGGTCAATGGGGCTTAAGCAAGTGTTTGAGCAGGATTATTTCCCCACTAGAGTCTTAGTACATCTTTCCTGAAGAAGTTCTCTCAGCACTCTCTCTCCCAATTCTCTTCTTGCAAATACAACCACTTTTCTCTCTTCCTGTTTTATGTGGGAACCAGATTTACCACAGTTAAAGCTGGTGAGAAAATGGAACTTAAAGCTATTCAGTTGCATTTCACATTCTTAAAATGAGAAGTTGCTTGTTGTCATTGTTAGGCAATGCAATGAGGTAATATTTACTGGGGCACAGTGCTCAGAACTCTTTCTGCAGAAACTGGTGCTTACATCTGAAGATTTCTTTCTTGCAGGGTCCTCTGCCAAATACTTGTGGTCACTTTTGGGAGATGGTTTGGGAACAGAAAAGCCGTGGTGTTGTCATGCTGAACAGAGTGATGGAAAAGGGATCAGTAAGTACTTAGGGTTCTTTTGGGTATAGGCAGAGGTGTGGGATGACCATGTATATACATATGTAAAAACAAACATGATGTCATGGGAGGGGTTTAATGTACGTATCATAGGCTCAGAGTATGTGGGGGGCCCTGGTCCCCATTGGGAAGAGTTGTCAAAACCCAAACGAGGAAAAATATGTGATGTTTCTTAGGAACAATGACTGAGGCCAGAGATCTAGGTTTTCCATTCACTGCAGAAAAATGTGGGTTTTCTCCTTTAACGGAGAGTTCCAGCCTGCAAGGTGCTGCTTGGGAGTGGGGAGGGCCATCGGAGGCAGGGGGCACCATGTGAATCTGCATGTGCACATGCATATGGCAGCCAAGCAGAAGAGCAGCTCCCTCCAGGTAAGTCTATGGGGGGAGCCAGGCAATGGGGCAGAGGGGGGGCCAGGGCAACATGGTGGGAGGGCATGTGCCCCCCCCAAGATCTGCATCTAGTTCCAGGCAGGAACTGCCTCCACGGCCTAGCAGGCAGGACCTGGCGCAAGTGGGAATGCTACACTTCCATGGCCACCAAGGTGAGGCACGGTGGCCATGGAGTTGTGCCCAGCTCCTGGGCAGGCTTACCTTGCCTTGATGCTCCCTCCTGCGCCAGGTTCCCCCCCACCTGGCTGCCGAGGTGGATCCTACCTGTAGCTGGTCTGGCCCAGCTGCAGCCCCGTGCTTTGCTGTGGGTGCAGAAATCTTGGGAAGGATGTCTTCCCCAACCCCCACCGCATCGCCTGTGCCTCTTCTGCCCCCCCACATGTTCCCCACACCCCCACCCTGTTCCCCACACAATGTGGGTGTGGCAGGGGCACATGTCCATCAGCTTAGTCCTCTCTCGGCAAAAATAAGTCGGCGCCTGTGGCATGTATAGAACTTTATCCAACAACACATGACTAGGATTCGGAAGTTAGATACCTGCCAACAGGTGTTGATTAACTTGGAAGTGAGAGAGTTGCCAAGTTTGGAATAGGAGGTCCTGATTTCTTATGACCTGAGCTGAGCTGAGGACTGAAACTGGTATGATCACCTATACATAAACAAATGTGGTTTCACTCCTGAATCAACCCTGGTAATCTAGACACATGGCTGCAGTTCCTCATTGCCAGTGGATGGGACTTTGCCCCTGATTCTCACTTGTAATTAGGCCCTTTCTACTGGCATAATCAAAGGACTTTAAAATAGCTGTAGATGCACTTTGTACCCATCAAAGGTTCCTTTTATGCTGCCAGAATGATGCAAGGGAGGTGCTTTATACTGCCTTGTAGAGCACTTCTGATCAGTTTACAAAGCAGACCAGTATCACTGTCCACTATTTTTTTTTTTTTTAATGGATAGCATACTGCCCTTTTTTTTTCTCTCTCCCTACATTCTTAAATTCCCTTCGAGATGACCATGTCTTCCTGCCATAACTGTGCCTCTTACTGGAAGCTCCATCCTGTGATCATACATATACCTGGTGACTTTTTTTTTACTACATTTTGAACAGGTTGGATACAGAAGTAACCAAAATCTGATAAAGCTGCATGTTGTCACCTTCCTTTCCACTTCAGAGGTGGATAAGTGGGTTACATGATGTATGTCCAGGCAAGAATTCCCAAGTGCCTTGAACACCCATGTGCAGTGAGCTGGGTTCTGATTTAGCTCTTTTTTAATTGATTTTTGTCTTTCATTTGCTTCAGTAATGTAAAACTAGTAAAACATACCTTGAAAAGCAATATATAGTCACTGTTTTTAATCATGCTGCTCTTTCCAACCACTCCTGCACTCTTCTCTCCATTGCCAGTAATCTTGATTAAAAAGTGAAGACTTGACTAATCATGAATGCTTCTCAACAAACAGCAGTGGGGAGGAAAAGAGGGGCTGGAGGTTGCAGTAGGACTGGGCTAAATGTTTGCAGAGCTGTTTGGTGCAGAAATTCAGTATAAAACTAACTGTCCCCTTGAAGGCTTCAATGCAGAAATTGTAGAGGATTACAATACTAAATGTTGTTATATAAGGTTTCTTGTTACCTCAAACTGTATCCTCTTGCTCAGGATTGATCAAGAGTTGGAAGCAATGAAGGTGTATCTGTAAACCTGACAAAAAATGTGAGATTCTTTCAGGGTCTATGAATAAAAATGGTGTCTGTTTAATAATAATAATTAAAAAAAAAAAAAATTTTAAAGTCAGCAACTTTTCTTAGAGGTTAAAGTCCCTCTTCTATCACATGTCCCATTATGGATGGGACAGCTCTCCATCACTTTACCTTTTCACTGTATAACTTATTCTTAATCAACACAAATTTCCATTAGCTTCCCTTTCTTTTCAGTGTTCTGTTTTCAAGGGAAGGTGTCTTTATTTATGTATATAAGGCACATTAGCTACACGCAGCAACCCATTCCTCTGCAAGCATGGGTTTGGAATGAGCACAGCTCATAATCCTGCTTCAGGGGAGCTGTGTCTGATTCTGAGAAGCAGCAGTGCAGTTGTCAACTTTCATAACATCCATAGACATGCATTGGTCCTAATAAACATGGTTGCAGGCTTTCTTGTATTTATTGCTAAACAAGATCCTGTAGTTTCATTCCCCTTTTTTGCTGAGCTAAAAGCACACTAGTTGTGTATTTGACTGACTCATTTAAGCTTCTAACGTGTAAATACGATTGCTACAGAACTTTGGTTTCCTAGAAAATGATTACTGAGAAAATTACTATGTACAGTCAGAAATTAGGTAACAGGAATGTGTGCAGAATCTGTTTTTTAGATGGATTAAAATGTTAACGTTTAAGCTATGCCATATGTAATCACTGATCTCATAGCTATTTTTATTTTTGTGATAGTCGACTGAATACAGTAGTCTTTTTTTTTTTTTTTTTTTTTTGAGTGTGTATAAATTTAACATTGTAGATGTAGAGCTGTCAACTAGGGCTATGTGTACCCCTAGGGGTACTTTAAAAAGATCCTAGGGCATACTTAGACCTAATGTGGCCAATAAATGCTGTGTGCATGCACACAGCTGCAGCACAGCACACAGGCGAACAGGAGAGCAGCTGGGTCTGGTTGGTAAGTATGTTGTGAGGGAAAGA